GGTATGCAGAAGCACAATGACTACCATCACAACATGGTCTCTTTTTCTAAACACAGGAAATAAAAGGTTATACTCATAGTCAAAAAAGTATATTTTATATATGCATCCAGGTTTCTCATTTTCATTATTATTAAAGTCAAATGGAAACATCCTTATAAAATGTTCTAGGAGGTAACTGTAAACAGACTTTAAAAGCAAGCTTCTATTACTAAAGATAAAAGAAGTGCAATTATATCTCCTTTCAGCAATCACGTATTGAACGCCTATTTATGAAGCACTGTACCAAGGCTGTGTGGCGGGAGCAAGGTACAACTAGATGCCTGAATTCTACCAATTGGAGATTGAGAGGAGAAAAAGCATGACTATACTTTTCCAAGGGCAAACTAAAAGCAATATTTGTCTCCTGAAGTAATAAAATGTTCTCCAAATTACTCTAGAAGCTGAATGAATCTTTCTAACCTGACCACCCTAGAAATTTGTTAGGGACTTCATTTACCATTAAACACAATAAGGATAACAGCAGAACTGTGGCAAACCTGGAACTAATATAATATTCTCTGGGGCCTATTTTTCTTTATAACATATATTATGACAATTTAACATGTTAAACCTTCATGTTAGATTACAGGAAATATTCAATGAATTAAACATATCCATTGACAGTCCGTGTGGTTCTAAAAGTTTAATTTGCTTATATAACTTAATATTTTTTAAAAAGTTTATTTTAGAATTATCTGAAAAAAACTAATTCTTTCAAGCTTATCCCCAAATTAATAAATTCACTTGAATGTAGATATTCAAATATTTGATATCTTAGATTTAGAGACTTTCTCCAGTTCTTATATACTCTTAATGATTTTTGGTGATTCAGAGCAATTCGTGTCTTTCTTTTTTTTATCACAAAAAAACCATTTAAGGCACTCCTTCTTATGATTCCTGAAAGCTTCACTATAATATACAGATATTTTAGATAGCATCATTATAATAAAGTCTTTTCAATGTTTTAGTAATGAAATATGCTACATACAAAATATAGCTATCTTGTAACACACAGTGGTCTACAGTGACTTGTACAATAACTCTTAAGTGTACCATATTTTCTATATACCCTCATAGTAGAAAACACAAAATTATTTTCCAATAGTATTATATTTAAGACGAAAATGAAGTTTTAAAAATAGTGCTGAAAATCCTAATTTAAATCAAATGGATCAAACTAATATTTCTTTAACAAGTTTAAGTGGCAAGTAAACTTCTATAATATATTTTAAAGGAGTTATTCATTACATTGTATATCACATTTATATGAAAGGGACCATGGTCTACTGTTTCAGACACAGGCCTGAGGATCAACCTCTATGAACTGAATCTCTAGATGTACCATTAACAGTATACTTTCTGTGCCTTGATTTTCTTATCTAAAATAGGAATAGCATATTGACCTATCAATATTATTACTATTCTTACAATCTAACGAGTTTAAATTATTAGAGACAGTTAAGCAATACAGGTCAAAAAACTTGCCTGTTGTAACGAATATTGTAATACATGTAACTTTTTCAGATGTCAATTGTAACGTACTTTCATCTATAGGAATTTATAATTGTTTAATTTAATATTCATATGAGGAGAGAATTCCTAAATCTTATAATTCTAATTATTAGCTTAATTCCTGGTAAGAGGGTAATCCTATTTATATTTGAAATAGTAACAACCTCCAAATTGCTTTTTAAAATGTTGATGATAAAAATTAAAATGAGCAGGAATATCTCAGAAATACGTTTTAAATTATTATGTAATTAAAACTAAATTGTATGCAGATTTGGAATAGGAGGTTTTAATACTGCATTTTCATAAACTAAAATCAACTCATTTGAGATTTCAAATGTTATCTTTAATTCAATTGGTTCTTTTTCTCACCCTTATGAACATACCACAATAACACTAACTTTGATTGACGCTGTAACTGAGTCCTAACATTTACTTTTTTTATTTCAAAACATTCAAACTATACTACAGATGTTTGAAGGTGTCTATTTGGCATAGCCACTAAAAAAATAAAGTCACAATATATTCATAGACAAAAACTACAAGAGTATATTTTATTGGATCTACTGCCTTTAAAAGTTATTCCATGTAATAATCAATATCGTTAAAATCACTCCCAATAAAATATTTGTTTTTTTTCTTTTAATGATCCAAATCTATAGTGAAATGATGAAATCAAAAAACAAGTGTTCTTGTCAGAAGACAGGAAAAGAGGTTTTCCCCCTCCCTTAAGGAAAACAAAGGAATCCTGAAAGCTTTGCCCTGATTTATTTTTCCAATTTTAAATACCTTAAGAGTAGCGGAACTGCTACTGGCATGGTAGTATTTCTAACAGTCAATAAATCTAAAATATTATGTGTGAATATTGGAATGAAGCCATTAAGAAGATTACAGCATGCAACACAGCAGAGGGTCCACAGGAAAAAAGAACTAGTAATTCAGGACAACTGTGACCACTGACCTTTGAACAGCCAAGACCACTGGTCAATCTGACACAATAATAGAGTACACATGCATAGAAAGTCAACCAGCCCATAAGTATAATTTAAATGCTTTGGTGAATGATTTTAAAAGGACCCCCCCATTTAAATCTCAGTTAACCTATTAAACAATCAAACAATACTAATAGTAACATTTTTCAGGTTTCAAGTATATTTTATCAATTTAAATCACACACAAAAAATTTTAGGAAGATCATTTGCAATTTTAACACATCTCATTTAAAACATTTACAATTGTCCTGTTCTGTCTAGTGGGGGTAGGGCAGCTTCTAAAATATGATGTGATGCTTCATCCTATTTCCTCCAAAATTATAAGAGATAGAAAACAGATGAAAAAGCTAAATTTATTAGAAATGGGTTCTAAAAATCACCCAAAATATTTTTAGAAAATTACTATAACTTTAAACCATCTCATACTTTCAGTAAATGGTCCTAGCTCCATCTCAGAACAATTTTTGTCTATTCTTTAAATTTCTCTGTAAGCCTGTGTCCCTGAATTTCAAGCATATAGTTATTTAATCAATTTATACCACCTTTCAGTATAACTTTTATCTACATTTTTAAATATTTCAGTTATGTTTACATTGTTGTTCATGAGTAAATAACAAGATGGTCCCTTCTGTCATTTTATATATTTAGACCTTTACATGTGTGAATATTTAACTTCTCCATATATTTAAATAAATGTTTTAATCATCAAACTAATTCTACTAGGAAAGTAGTACTTCTCAATTTAAAAAAGAATCACCATCAAAAAATAAAATTTCAAAGATTATTTTTCTCAAGAATCATCTGTCATTGATTGAAGCTGCCTATAAAAATTTTAATATCATGTACAGGAAAGCTGAATTTCTTTCTCTTTTTTTTCTTCTTTCTCTTTTTAACAAACAATCTTTCTCCCTAGGATATTAACGGTAGGAAGTACATGCACATAAGGAAAGCGTTCCTAAAAGTCAGGATTCTATTTTCATAATTATTTCTCTATACAGTGAAAAACACTTTGAATGATTTTTAAATGAATAACTCTAATAATTTATTTGTGATTTTGTTTTGGCAAAAATTTTATAATGAGATAATCTAGTTATAATAAGCTAAAAAGATGTAATTGTTCACTGGCCTAGGTTTAGATTTGTACATTCATAGCAAAAGTTTTACTACAGTAAGATAAGGTAGTTCAATTTTAATATGCCTCAAGGTCAGCAAGTATTTTAGGTTATTATGGGCATAAATAATCTGATTTTGACTTTAAAATCGTATTTTTCCTATCATTAGACAGAAGGACAACCAAGGCTGGTATTAGTGTATTTTTGAGTTTAGGATTTTTTAAATTCACTTTCTCAAATTCCTTAATAATGGATTTCAAAGTAGTTCAATATTACAGAAAAATATGTTCTGAAGGTATTTTTTTCCCAAATTTTAATATCCATATAAAGAATAAATGCTTTGATTTTTTAAAAGGAAGTTATTTTAACTTAGAACTATGTTATAAAGATATTTTTAAGTAGTCATTAAAATATATACAGAAACAGTACTAGTTTGCATCTTTGTCCCATACTAAGGAATATGAAGGCCAAAAATAATGCACTTTTGGAGACTATTTAACATGACATACAGAATATGTCCCATTATAAGCTGCAGACACACTCACACACACACAACCCTCCGCAAGATCAAAGACCAGAAGAGAACTGGCACTTAATTTATCAGCCTTTACAGACAAAAGACAGTTTTCGTCATTTCAAAAGGATCAGATGTCTTTTATGACAAACGGGGTTTGCAGTTTAATTTACAAATAGAATTCTAAGTAAGCAGTCTTTGCTCTGCCAAAGCAAATGACAAACAGTGTAGGTTTTCATTCTTGCGGCCCTCAGCAGGATAGAAAAGATTAAAATAAAACTGAAATAATTTAGAGAAAACAAATAAATGTTTCAGAAAGTTGAGGGAGATCAAAGCCAGAATTTTCTGACCCCAACTGTACAAGCATTTCTTATTATATTGACCAGTAACATCAGATCATTAATTAAAAGGAAAAGCGCTGGCAGGTGGCAGGGAAGCAAAAGCCGATAATTGGCCCCCTTCTTCTTCTTGCCTTCAAAAACTCTCTCATTCTTTTGCAAGACATGCCACTAGGCAGACAGAAATGCCTACTTTGTAATATAATGATTAAGATGAGATGAAGAGACTTAGGTTTAAAGAAACTCTGCCTAATGAATGCATTCAGCTTTTTAATTATGATCCTACTTTTACAATAAGGAATATGATGTTCCATTCAAAATCTCAACTGCTAAAAGGTAAAAATATTAAATATGGAATCAACATTGATTTCTCTAACACCCCATGCAAATACCCAACCCTTTTATTTCAGATATTAAAAGTGGGAAAAATAACTTAGTAATTCAGAGGTCCAGGAGAAAACATATATGTTCACCACTGAATAGCCTTCATACTTACCACATCACTTGGTAGGTTGTTCAAGTCACTAAATGGTGATTCTAATGTGTTTGTATCAACATTTAACATAACAACATCTTCCAATGATTTATTTTTCACTCTCTATTAAAAAAACACAATTATGAATACAAATCTTAGTATATTTACAAAGTTATGATGAGCTTGGAAACAGAAAATATTATCTTAACGCATTAGGCTTGGGAAAAGAAAAAAGGAAAATCCTATATTACAAAAGGATAGAAACAACTTTGCCTCCTGAGAAAGTCTGACTACAACCTATACGAAAAGATTTAGTAAAAATGCTTAAAATTGAATATTTGCTCATCTTATATTAAACATAACAACAACAAAACTTCTTATAAAATAGGCACAGTTACATCAAACCATAAACAAATTATATACTTTAAAATTTTTCCACTTAATTTCAGTCCCATGATACAAGAATTTGTGGCCAGCTCTGTACCTATGTTTAGCATAAATCATATTGCAAGGATAACATAAACCAATAACTATGACTACAGCATTAAACTGTAATTTAAATTTTTTATCTATATTCCATACCAAAACATATATGTTGATGATGAGGACTGAAAGCTGAATAAGAGAAAATAACAGGATAGTAATATGGAATTTATTGTTAGTAATATTTCTCACATGAATTTCAATAGAAGGTATCAAATTTAATAGCCTATCAGATTATCTTGACTTGTCTCATTTGTTTGAAAGTTTAATCAAAATAGTCAAATTATCTCAATATGTCTACAAATAATAGTAAATAAGAATTTTATCATATTTTCATCCTTAAAGAAAATACTTACGGTTCATTTTTCCTACTTAAACTAATAGGTATACTTAAACAATTCATATAATTTTATTAGTCTTATTTAATTTGTAACAAATAGTATTATTCTTTAGTGATAAGTGCTCATTATTTAAATATATTCGTGAACTCTGAATGTTATAATTGTATAAGTCAACTAGTAATAGGTTAATAATTTTAGTGTAGTATTTTTAAAGTGGTGGTCTACAATAATAGTCATTTTTGAAAATTATCACTTAAAACCTTATTACCTTATATTTTAAATTAGCCAAACTGGTTATTTTAAATTGATCATAATTAAAATTTCTCTGATCCATTTACAATTTCAAATCTCTGCATATTAGAATGTTAAACTTTCTAAAGCAATGGTAGTCTAAAGCAGAGAATTTCCACATGTTAAGAAAGGCTTAATGTCTACAATGAGGACAGATGATTCTAAAAATCTGTCTTCTTTATTATAAAGACTTAAAAGATGGCCACTTCTAAGATATTAGCAGAGAATCACCTACAGTGATACTATTGACACTACTTCAAAAATATTTACATATACACTCGTTTCCTTTTCTTTTCACATGTTTATAAATATGTAAAAAGCTTTAAGTACATATATGTGTAGTAACCTATAAAGTAACTACAGTATGACTACAATAACCTATTTTATAAGTAAAAATATAAATTATATTAATCACATTTGTGTGAAAAACATGTCATAATTTTGATTTTCATCTTCAACTTTAAGTTGTCATTTTGTGACAGAAACTATAAAGATAATCCAATAAACCTGACATATTTGTTAAGGGATAAAATGACTTAGTTTGTAAATAGCCTAAGATAAGGTTATGTGCCCACAAAGTGTTTTGTGAGGACATTATCACTAAACTCAGAACAAGGAAATCGGTACTACTATGACATGTACACTTTTTTCAAAACTGCTCTTAGTTTTAAAAACCTGGTAATTGCTAAATATTAAATTTTATTTAAGGGACCACTCAAAAAAGAATAGAAAAATAAATTCATTTCAAATTAATAAACTGAGATTCCCTGACATGAAAATAATTCTATCAATACATTAGCAATAAAGGAAAAAATAGAGAGTAACAAATTTATTTTAATTTGGATTAGTATCAATATTTTATCTATTTTTTCTCTCCAAATTAGACTTCAACTATTTTTTTTCTAAATAGGCATGGGAAGTCATGTGGTATATAAAATGGTACCTCTTTCTGTGTCTCACTGTTACATCTCATAAAGTTATGAGATACAAAATTAAGAAAATTTTAAAAATTGTCATTTTCTTCAAAAATAAGAAAATATTAGACATAGACTGAAATGCTTGTTAAGCACAACTGTATGAAGTGAAGTCTTTCTCACACCCTCTATGTTTAACTTTTCCATACAATATGGCTACAAATATACTTATGCACATTAATACAAAGAAATGACACAGTGGCAGCAATCACATGATTTTACAAAACTGGGTCAACATTTTATTTAGAATCCGTTGTACATTAAAACAATAAGATATTCCTCAAATTTGTAGCCTCTACTAATTTATTCCTTATGACCTGCAGGCCTTAGTCTGCCTTGAGTTCATCCCCAAAGTCTAGTTTTCAGGCAGAACAAAGTGTCTTTAGCCTTTATTTTAGAAGGAAATTTGTATTTTAAAAAGATTCTGGCCATCCTTTACTCATAATTTCATTAAAACAATTGAAAGAAAGATGTTAAGGGATGTTAATTTCATGTCTTTGAACAAATACATTTAGAAGTTGTTACATTAGGTTGGTGCAAAATTAACTGCAGTTTTTGCCATTTTAAAAAAAACAGCAAAACCGCAATTAATTTTGCACCAACCTAAAAAAACAATAAAATGTGTTGAAACTCTCTCGACCAAGAGAAAGGGAATAAGAAAATATTTTAATTATTCCTTAAAGAAAAATTGGTTGTAATTGCCAAGCAAGAAGCAAACATTTACTCAGTTCAGTCTTACATATTAAATATGTAAATAGCTGTTATCAATATTTTAATTACGAGACCATTTTGGTAAAAATTAAAAAGCATAAAAGGTAGAAATTTTAGTGAAAAAAATCTTCCTAATAGTGCCATAACAAGAATGAAATTTGCGGGATTGACATCATCTTGTAATAGATTAACAAGAAAGTTGCTGAATGGTATCCAATTGTTTTAAAAGCATTCCTGAAGTGCCCAGTATAGCTTCTCATTCACTAATAAACCAATTAAATAAAATAAGGCTGACTATTAAGACACTTAGATAAGTCCAGAGTATGAAAAATACAGAGATTTCAACCAGTCTAATCATGGCTTCAAATATTCTCATTTAATAATACGAGTCAATTTAAAGTTAGAATGGATTATTCTCTAAGACAACACTTTTTAAGGAGCAAACAATTCTTACATTTGCTACTTAAAAACAGTATTGGTTTTCTTTATAGGTATCCAAGAATATGTGATAAATTTAATTGAATGTTTAAAATATATACCCTTTTATACAGTATTTTGGAAAAGCTGAATCATTTGTTTTAAAACTTGATGTAGAATCATTATGCAAAAAAACCTATAACATCAACAGGTAACCAACAACTTTAAATATTTTTCATCTCTATAATAAATAAACATGTTATAAAAATTATGTATCCTATTAGATTCATTAAGAAGCGACAAGTACACTAACATAAAAATCAAATTTGACGACCCTTTTTAGAAAACAATCCAACCAAGGTTAGATTTTAAATAAAGTCAAATTACTGATAAACTAAATGCTAGTCATATAATCTTGTAACAAATTAAGTACCTACTCATTCATATTTCATTTTATGCAATTTAGCCTTTCACTGAAACTACCTTGGCATGTAAGAATAAGTTTTCTAGAAATGAATAAAAAATAAGGAGTCATAAAGTTATGCAACTCAGACTTCAATATTACAAACAAACCTACTCAAGATATTCATTTAAATATTTTTTTTGTTATTGGTGAAACAAATAAAAAATGTTGCCCTAGCATTTTGTGATAAGAAAAAATGCCCAAAGCTAGCGTACAGGTCGGAATCCACAACCTGCGCCTCCTAAAGGGGCATGACTCTCTCCCAATATGATCCTCAGGAGTTTTAAAATATATCAACAGACTCATCTTTGATCAAAGCAAGGACTGATGGAGTGTATACAGTGATGGCAACTAAGAGGAAAACGAAAGCTAACTCATTTAGGTTGCTCATTAGAAACTGGGTTAAAGTACAATCTGTACAACCAGCAAAAAAAGATAAATTTATCTGAATAAAACTGATAGCATCCAGCATAATGACACCACTCAATTGACCCAATCCTTTGTTTTAATTCAAGCCTTTTGCTTATTTTGTTAAGATGCTGACCCCATACCAAGACCTTCCTGGGAATCTCACTAATTTCAAGTTCATGGTGTTAATAGTTCAAGGTCTTTCACTATAGGAATAACTTAAATGACAAAAATAATTTTAAAATGATGCAGTAATGGTGGAAAAAAAATACTAAATTTTATATTCCCAAACAGAACTGAAAATTAAAACTTAAGGCTATATTCTAAAGTTAATGATTAGTATATTAAAACCACATTTAAAATATATATACTGATAAATGGGAACATAATGAAGTCTGCAAAATAAAAAAATTTACTTCATGACTCATAAGTACATAAATTTTGACTTTCTAAATATAGGTCTGAAAAAGAGATACAAATAATCTCAAGTTGCCATAAAAAAAGGCAATTGATCAAGGACTGAAGTTTTAGTATTTAAAACTTATATGATTTCTACCAAATATAACCTATTTTTATGGATTTCATGCCATAAAAAAATGGTCATTTAGTATGTTAATTTAAATGAAATTATTTCAATGTTCTTTTTAAAAATGACAAGCATACTCTAAATATGAAACGAGTCACTTCTTTGTCCTATTCCATTGATATTCCTTCAAAACAAAACTGTTTTAACTATTATTTTATGAGTTAATTTTATCACTATCTCATGTCTGAAAGATACTCACCTCTATGAGGCTGGAGTGTATTCCAATCAGGTATGGCATTGGGGCACTAAATTAAAAATATATATATGCATAGATTCATATAGTTCATTAAAACTGAAACAACAGTATAAGTAATTCAAAATGATTAAAAATTAAATGTACTAAATGCTCAGTTCCAGCATAACACATTATGGATATTCAAAATTATTCAATATATAAAGCTCAAATTTAATCTTAGAGGCCATTAATATATTTAAACTTAAGGTTGCTTTTTATAAACATCATAAAGTCATTTATAATTTAATCAAGAGTTATAATGTCTAAAAAGTTTGTTTGTTGGTTTGTTTTTAACTTAAGAAGAATATCAAGGTCTAGGCCATAGTCTGAATTGAATCTTTTCCATATACCTCATAGCAAATATATCCTAATCATCAAACTTATTTACATCCCTTTTGCACATCTTTTCCTATTCAATTAAATTCTTATTTCTATGATATTCTTAATATATATCTTCATTGATACATACCTCCTATGTCACCAAATATTAGGGTCACAGGGTCAGTCTGCAAATATTTATCAAGACTTATTGTTTGTCAGGCACTGTTCTGGAAGTGGATGTACAAAAGGAAACAATTTCCTCACCTACTGTGCTATCTTTCCCCTCGTATACATTGTCTTTTATTTACTTAATTGTATAAATTCAGATTTATCCAACTTTCACTTTTAATAATGAAATAATTTTAATAAATTTAAAAATACTTAAGTGTGAAAATAATCTTGAATTAATTAATTCGACACATGATATTTAGAGCAAAGCAGGTGCCAGGCCTTAGGATAGAAACTTGGGAACATAAAGACAATATAAACAGAATATATTCCCTATGGGTTTTATACTCTTGCAAAAAATATAGATACTAAATTTTTAATACATAAAATAAGAATTGCTGGTTATTTCAGAAATACTTCTCATGAAATACAAGAAGAAAATTATTCAACTTGACATTTCAAACCTAAAATATTATCTAACAGAAAAACATGAGAATTGACAGATATCTACGAAGGCAATAGTGGATATATGAAAAAATAGCAATTTTAAAATAAAACGTTTTTGGTAATTCTTTTACAGGCATCTTTGTGCTCTATTATCACACACCTTTTCTGTTAATGCAAACAGATAATCCCGTTTCTCAAAGGATTTGCATAATTTTCTAAACATCATTGTCATTATCAGAACAGAGATGTCCAAATTTCTGTGTGTTCACTTTGCTACTGAGAACCAGCAATAGATTACACAGGCACCCTGACAGACCCAGAGATTTCACAGTAATCTTAAAAAGTTCCAAATTTATTTAAAGATGGCTAACCACTAATCCATATATCCAGAATTTACAAAGTAGTGTTAAAGTTCTTATTTTACTCCTCGTTAGCCTGTACATTCTAGTTCATTACTTCTTATTGTACTAGATTATAATTCCCAGGTGTCTTTGCCGTTTGTAGCTTTGTTCCTTCCTATTTATTTTTTTAATTTGAATGCAAGAGACCATCTGGAATTGATCTGATATTCTGGATACTTCACTCGGCTGAAAGTTGAGAACTTTTTATAGGCCTTGATATCTTTAAGACCTAAGAGATTTTCTGCCTTCAAAAGGAAACAGGAGGAACAAATGTGGACTGTTCCACTACTTCCCTAGTTCAAGTTCTCATCCCTGAATTCCTTCTGGGGCTCCAGAGAAGACTAAAGTGCATATCACTAGCAAATCTAGGCTTCCACAACAAGGTTTTGATAACTTTAACAAAATGAAGTTAGGCAACTCCCATGATCTTAAATATCTCAATCCCTGCCTATATCCAAAATACCATAAGATTATTGAAGTCACTGCGTAAACTTCCAGTTCACCTCAGGTTAGCTTATCCTACTCATAAGATTTATAGTACAGAAAAGCCCATGCAGTCTGAAATTCAAAGTACATTTTAATGAAAGAGTTTTAAAATAGTTAAGCCTTCTAACAAACAATAGTTACTAAGTCCATTTTACAAATGTTGGTGGGATAAATGGGTGGGTCAGAGTTTCATAAAATCAGAAGCAGACTGCTAAATAACCTACTGAAGTGCCAGCAAATACATCTAGGAAAACATTTTTTTAAACTTTATGGAAGACATACTTATCTTTTGAAGTGTAAAAAACACATTTGTAAAAATTATTAAGCTGGCATAAAAATATCAATTAAAAAGCTTGTATGCAAAATGTAATCATATAATAACTTGAAACTTTTAAAATGGGATCACTTGTTACATCCACATGTTCTCTTCTCACCAATTTCTCATAAAATCCAAAACACGGATGTGAGAACTGTAAATATTATTAACCTAGAGACTAATTTCTTAAAATAATTACATTTTGCAGAATATAGAGTGAATAGTTGTTTCTTTCTCACAAAAACTGGATTGTGTAATCCTAATATGAAATCACCCAAATCTCATGAAATGTAAGTTTGCAACCCTAGCTTAAATTTCCTAATTCGATTAGAGCATTATCAAGTCAAGAAGAAATTCTTGGCAACACAGACGTTTTGTCCTCTGTGTGCAAAACTGTCCTAGATCTTTCTTTCAATGTAGTTATTTTGCAAAGATGGGACACAGAAACCTCCATATGATTGCTGCTTCTTTTTGGTAGCAATTATCTGTATTTAAGAACAGCTTTTTTTTTTTTTTTTTCCTTAGGTTTTCTTACAAAGAGACCACCAATGACATAGACCATAACAGCAGTCTATTCGGGTAGTCTGAAGTATACAATTTTCCATTTGTTTTTTTAAAAAACCTATTCTCTCAGAAGTTAAACCTGCTCCTTTCATAAAAAGAAGAGTCATATAGTCTAAATAGTGACTCAATCATTCATGAACAAATAATAGGTAATAATAATTTTACTAGCACTAAAGTCACATTATCTGTCATGTGTTTATGGATTCAGATAGGTTAAGAGTGCCTTGCAACATCACAGACTTGCCATATTAAAGTATTCTTATATTGGCTGATTAGGGAAAAATGCAGATGGTGTCATTTCCTCCCAGGCACCTTCTTTAAGCTACCAGGGAGTGTACGCCACTTCTTTTCATGTGTTGCCATCCATGGTCCTTTGTATGCCTATCCTGTAATACTTATAATGTTGCAGTACTGTGCTATGTGTGTGCATGTGTGCACATCTAAGTATGTGTGTATTTCTTGCTATCTGTGAACCCTGCAAGGGCAGAAACTAAATCTTATTCATTACATTACATATTCACAGCTTGGCAAAATATTTAGATGGTTACTAAATGTTTAATGAACAAATGAATGGATGAATCAACAAAGTAACAAGGCTTTATTGGTGGACCAAGATGCGATATTCATCTATGGTCACAAGATGGCATTATGGCTCTCCACAGTCCAACCCACAGCAGAGCTACCAGCTGCAAAAACAGAAATACTTTATGGAGGTAGGATTACCTCAGGAATCAGAAAGTTCCAATCATGCCAAAGAGTTAGCAAATATATATTTTTTCCTATCAAATCTTCATGATACTATTTTTGAACTGGAATATTCATAAAAATTATTTAATCAAATACTGTGACATTGAAGGGATGATCTGTAATTTTTTTCCCTTTTACATGTAGATCAGTATGATTTTAACCTCAAGGATGGAAATGGAAGAAAAACGTTTACCTTAGGAAACAGTTTAGTTTACCAAGTTTTCTGATGGCTATTCTTTAAAAAAATATATTATATTACACTACTCAGTTCCTATGATAGAAGCTGAGCCTATCATTGTGACCTTAAGGTTCAGGAAGTTTCAGGTAACTTCTTGTTTGAATATCACTGATTCACTCTTTGAACCAGGGAGTTTTTGGCATGGAAGCTGTTAGAACTCAACCCAAAGGCTATTTCAGACATTAGAAACTAGAAAGAAAATTCCAGGGACTGAAATACGAAACAAGTTTCCTTCACTGAATTTAATGATGGGTAGAAACTATCAGAAAAGCTCTGGAAAAAATTAGTACAGAACTGCCTGTGTCATAGAATAATTTCTAAATAACATTTTAGAAAATCTTAAATGTGTAATTCATCACAGACAATTGAACTTAATTAAAGGTGTGTTATCTCTTAAGAGGTTAGAACATTTTAATATAAAAATTAAGATGGCACTAACATCATATATAAAATGTAATTCTAAAGATACATTATATAAAATCATATATCAATATATTTCCAAATACTGCTGTAACATATATTTTTAAATAAGTAAAGTTTAATTACTGAACAGTACATACAAAGATCTACTGCATATGTCAACATAAATAAATGAGAGACCCTCCCTTTAAGGAATGCTAAAATACTACAGGTATGTTGGTTAAAGAAAAACTCTAAAATGAATAACAAAGGGCTTATGTACAGATTTAGCTTTATTCTTAGACTTGTGTGTATAACGCTTAACAATACAAACTACATTCCTATAGTTTCCTGCCAAACAGTTTCTCCTTTCTAGTTCTCAAACAGCATAAGAGTAATGGTAGGTCACTGGGCACCTACTTCACAGCATTATCAATTCTAATAATATTACCATGCTGTGGAAACACAACAATATATTAATAAATCAATATGTGGCCAAGTACATGTGTTGTCACTACAATCACTTGCTCTGAAGAGAGTTAGTTATAAAAAGTTAATAGAAACCCTCTATGTATGAACTTAAATCATTTTTAATCCTTAATACTTTCTGCCTTTTATGAAATAAGAAAGTTAAATGAATGCATTGATTCTAAAAGTGCTGTGTTTTAGTAACATTAGCTGTGAAATAAGAAAACACATGAAGGTCAAAATTGTTTCCTTCTATGTGTGTGCACAATGGTTTAGAGAAAACATCCCATCACATTTCTTAAGAATTAGGCTACACCTGCAGAAGATGATTATGCAATAAAGATAACATTTCCCCCCCTAGTTTTGAAGAAGGCCCAGAAGCTGCTATTTAGAAGTCTAATCCTTATTTAGACTCATGATAAGTATGCAGATTCTTCCAGGCGAAGAGAACAAGGAGGTTCTAGAGGCCTGGTTATTGGGTGGGATCCCTTAGGAATTGTGTCTAATGCCAGGAAACTTTTCAGAATTACTCCCAGTACTTTTCAACATTGCTCTTCATGGTGGTTCAAGGCTGAGACTTTGACTTAAACAAAAAACAAGAATTCTTGTATTAGAGACAACGCCTTTGTCAGTACTTGGTATTTGGTGGGCTAATATCAAAAAAAGAGGGGTAGAGTAGTGTGTTCTGAAGTAAAGGTAACGAGAGTATGCCCTGACAGAGACAATGTGGTTTCTGGCAGATTTGCCAGACAAATTCCGACACCTGGGATATTGAGTTATCTAACTGACACCATAACTTCTATACAGTTTTCCTAAACACAACTTAAGACTGTTATTTTTTCCTATTTTGCATTATCTAAATGACTGCAGAAGAAATTCACAAAATCTAAAGAACTTTATGTTTGCTAAGTATAAATTTGTGCTACCTTTGAACAGAATTATTTTGTCCTTCATAAAAGCCATCTTTACTATTTATTAAAATGTAAGTTTCTGTGATTTCTTTTAAATATACCACCAAGTTTATCTAATTCACAAATAAACAGATATCTAATCATGAAACCTAAATTTAAAGGAGTCTGGCAAAAGCCAGCTTACCAGCAGTAGTCCAGCAGGTGTGGAGGAAGCACTGGGATGTATATGTGTTGCCAATACATTGGGTATAGGAGAGCAGCTGATCCATGGATACAGGCAGTTAACTAAAATTTGTAAAAGGATAACAAAAATAAGTAGCTGCTGACCTTCCAAACAAAAAGCAATGTTCAATGTATCAACAATGAACAGTAATCACAGAACAATTTACATAATGACATAAATCACATTGTCTTTACCAATTCTACATGTAAAAAGTCTTATGTCTCAGAGACCCCTCTGAAACGTATATAAAGAGCAAAAGTAGCTTCTTGGGAATCATGTAGTTATAATCATCTGAAAATACAGAGCTTGGGATTAAAAACTTAGAACATAAGTAAAACTGAAAAAATAGGTGTGCATCTTAGAAAAATTGCAGGAAATTACAATTTATACAGCATAGTTTGTGTATCACTCAGATTAATATAACATGATTAAATATGGAAAGGAAGAGAGGCTGAAAGCTCCTGAGGGATATCATTAGGGCAAATTGCCAAAGAATGAAACATGAACCAGTCAGGAGAGTCTGGAAGCTGCAAAAATATCAGGGGACTTGAATGTTCGACAGTTGGAGCTTCAGTAATGTGTGAACTGCGGGTTATGGTATCAAGAGACTCTGTTCACTGACACATAGAATGTCACTATTGACCAGCGAACTGCCCAAGCTTGACAGCTGTACTACAGGAAGCCAAGTATATCATAATTTCATATTTAAACTGTTCATTCCAGATTAACATTTTGTTTCCTAGCTTTATATCACAACAGCTGTAATTACATTGTTGCTATTTTAAAGGTAATTGCCATTTTAATTGTTTTGTTTTGGTAAGCAGTTAATTAAACATTTTTTAGTGCTTAACAAAAGGATATCACTTTTTCTTCCATCTTCTGACCCTCATCAGAATTCTTTCAATATGACTTTCTTTCCATTTTAAATTATATTTCCATAAATGTAAAGTCATTTTTATGCATAAAGCAATAATTAAATCAGCATTCTTAATCATTTTAAAGTTTTGCTATAGTCTGTATTTCAAGGTTACCAATTAAATTATTTTATTCAACTTGAAGATCAGAATTTTTAAAAAATCTGAAAATGAACCAGACTTTCTATAAACCATTTTCTCTATTATTATACAAAGATATTTAAAGAAACTACATAATAATCCACAATTAATTTTAAAAAATGAATGTATACAAAGCAATCCAAATCCTATTAATAGCCACATTTGTCTATGTTTAAGCGCAAAGTAGTTCCATTACATAAAAAGTCAATTAAAATAATTTGATCTGAACCAAAACTAAAAATTTTTATTCAAAGTATATTCATCTTTGCCATATGTGTTATATTTTTTCCAGTCATGTTTTTAATCAGTTTTATATGGCAAATAATGTATTTTGATTTCACTTGGGATGTTATCATTAAAGGATTTTACTACCTTGTACTTACAAGCTTTAATAGGTTATCATAGTATTCCTTCAATAAATATTACTTTTTAAATTCCTTAATTAGAGCCTACAATATGCCACTAGGAGGCATTCAAATACTTCCATTTAACAATTACAGACCATGGATTTATTTATGTTACAAACTGCAGCTAGAGGGAAATGAAAATGGGGTTGATCTAACTCATTGTGTCAAATTCTCCAAGAGCTCTCAGGTACTCCTTAGTTGTAAATTAGGCCTCTTTAAAATTGTATTAACTCTTTCCACCCCCTTTTTAACCTGATGGGCTAAAAGAGCTTATGCAGCTTTGAAAGCAGCTAATTATTCAATTTCTCAATCCGCACACAGATGACTTTTTGAACAGTTCATTCAAAGCCTTAAAAACAACAAAAAAGCTTTTATTGTTACTGAGCAAATAAAAACTGTAGCAAGAGGAAAAACACGTTCTTAAAGTGAGGAATTAAATATAATACCTCACTTTATTTCACTGGGCATTTTTATCACTGGGCAATTTATTTCACTGGGGATACCCAGAGTCTAAAGCACTCTACTAAATGCCACGTACATACTTTCCCTGCCTCCTTACTGGTCATCCTTAAATGAAGTTTTATTAGTTATTCGCTAACAAAATTCAACATTATCTGATGAATTTGACTGATTTCTTAGAGGATGGTTTCTGTAATTATATGCAGAGTCACAAAATTTCTGCAATAGCCAGCATCTGGCAGAGGGTTATGCCTGCTAATCAAGATCTACCAGGAGAGAAGCAAGCTCTACAGGACTTGGCAACTTTCTGGATGTGGGGTATAGGTGACAAGGAGAGGAAAAAATATATGACAACTCCTCCCCAACCACAGTTCTGGAACTAAGCAACCAGAATGCATTATTAAAGGTAATATAGCAAAGTGTCAGGTTTAAGTAGAATTATAAGGCATCGGCTTTAGTAAATATTTATTCTGTTAACCATGAGACACATAAATGGAGATTTCCAAAGAAGAAGGAAGCATCCCAAAGATGATCCCCCATATTCACCTAGTAGCATGCAAGAGCTGTATAACTTAAAAAGAATGAGAAAATACTATTATGGCATAGTCTTTTAGAGACGATAGCAAAGTTGCAAGTAAATAGAATAAAACAAATTTACTAGAAAATTTAACACATTCATATGTAAACTGAATAAAATCATAACATGTATATTACAGACACAAAATTAGGGAGCCATGTGACCTCTGGCACATCTACTAATATAACCATGTCTCAGTTTTCTAATCTTTAAAATAAGAACTCTATGCTAGATGGTCTGTAAGTATTTTCTCTCATAGATCAAGCATTCTTTATTTTTAGATCAGATCAGTTCTATCTTTTTTATATTCTTACGTATTGAGATTTCTTCTATCCTGGTGGCCAACGGAATACTACGACTGGACTATAATTCAGATCCACTTTCAAGATCTATCTAAAGGTTTAAGTGCTTTAAAGTGCTTTCATAAAGTCTCTAAGTGCTCTAAAGTCCATAAGGTAATTATGCAACTGAAAATATTATAACAATTTATTTGCTTAATTCAGCACAAATTTTGAGTGCCTGCTATATGCAACTGAAATCCCTATGATGCAACAGGGACACAGCACTAAACAGAACAAAGTCCCCGTTTCTATGGAGCTTACGTTTAGTGGAAAAAGCAAACAATAAACAAGTAAAATAAACATTGTCAGAGATGAGATCTATAAAGAAACCAAAGTAGGGACTGATGGGGGTGGTGGGCTACTTTAGATAGGAGGATTACAGAACAACTCTAATGTGGTGACATATGTACTAAAACCTAACTGAAGGGAGAGAGCAAACTCGTAGATTTGGGAAGAAGAGCATTCCAGGTAAATTGAACAAGGCATTCAGTAGTCCCAGGTGGGAATATGCTTGACATCTTCACAGAGCAATGGGGAAGTCAGTGAGATTAGACTGGAGAAAGTGGGAGAATGGCAGATGAGGTCAGATAGAGAAGCAGAATCAATGATCAATGACGGAGAGCCTTCTACGACATGGCAAAGACTCTAAATGTTATTCTGGATGACATTTTTACATACCTCTGAAGAGAGTGCTATCATAATAAACTATTTACCTAGAACATTTTGAGAATATACAAATTAAAGGAAAATAAACTACATATTTTAGAAGTTTGGTTTGCAATATAAAGTACTAAAAAGAAATGAGAACAATTCAATAAGCCAAGTAAGAAGAATCTTATTAAAGTTATTTATGATATATTGAATCTTTAAGCTTAAAGAAAATGAAATATCATATAGTTTTTCTTTGGGCTAGAATTACCCAAGTTTCATATGTCTGATTAGCAACAGGGCCAGGACTCCACGTTGCTTTTCTAATATCGTCAGTTGCTTCTTTAATACCACAGTTGTTCCTCACAAAAGCAGAGAAAAGTGTAAAGGAAAGAATTTCTATGTTTCAGTTCAAACATATCTCTGGCATTATATCCTGAAACTGAATAATACACTGCTATAATTTTCAGAGAAAAATGAATTTACCAAATAAAGGTTTATGGAAAAACATATTCTTATCTTTATGTAGCATATGAATATTTAAAATGCACATGTATTTTCATAAAGCATACCCAATATATTAAATTAATATAGTTCCAAAGAGCTGACTAATGCAAAATAGAAACATTGGTAACACTGATTTACTATGGACTTCAATTACAACCTAAGTATACATGCTACTCATGAGAAGGGACAAGAACTAATGCCCGTGAAACCAGACAGAGAAACCTGGCAGTAAAGGTCAGCAATAGTGTACTCAGTCATAGAACAAAGGCATTTGAAACTTCTGGTTCCCAGGTCACCAAGTCTAAGCATAGATAGTGCCACTGAAAATAACAGCAGCAAATGTTTATACAATTCTTACCGTGTGCCAAGAACTGTTATGAGTACTTGAACTACTCATATCTAATCCTCACAACAACCTCATGAAGTACTATTATCATTATTTCTACTTAACAGATAGACACTAAGACAAAGTTCAACCAACTGCCCATGATCATATAGCTTATAAACAGCAAAGTCAGGATACAAATGGAGGCAGGCTGGATCCAAAGTATAGTAACCGCTATTTCAAACTACCTTCAATACACGAAGATTTTAAATTCTCATCATTATAAGGCTTTGAATAACATCTACTGACTGAAAATACTGTGTTTTATACTAATTGTATAAATGGATCTTTGGACCGAACAGTCAAACAAGAACCACTGACCTTTGTACAAGAAATCTATGATAGACAGAGATCTGATTTACAAAACTTTCCTCAGGCAACACAGACTGTAACTACAGCAGGAAACTAATAGAAAAGACTCTCCCAGAAAATGTTAAAAGGATAAGATCATTGATACAAATTCTTCAAGTTATCATTTCAATTTATGTCTGTGAGTACACCTAAGTTTGAAACTGAACCAAAGTTGTCCTGCTTTGTGATACAAAATCTGATTTGTTCTTCTTAAACTATATTTATAGAAATCAGCCTATTAATAAAACTAGAATTGTTTTAAGCAATTAAATAGGCATGTATTTTCAGGGAGGAGAAAAAGACATTTATCAGACTCTCATGGACACAGCAGA